TTCTTTACCAGTTTTAACTCGCTTGGAGCTATACTCAGAATCATATCTGATTTTGCTTTATTATCAGCTTTTTCCCAAGCCCGAACTGCTGCAACCGCCGCTGCATTGTCTTCCTCTCCTTCAGGTTTCACCATCGTGCCGTCGACGTAGTCCCACAGGTCGTCCTTTACTAACACGGCCTCCATTTGTAACTTCCAAGTATCGAAGTTGTGCTTGTTTAAAAGCTCAATTCGCATACTTCCGGCACTCATCATTTTTCACTTTATATTTATAATACCCGAACACTAACTTTAATTTGCGAGATCTGGGCCCATAACCTGTTAGAATTATTTGGTTTATTGATCACACAAAATACAGAATTTGGAAGGAAGTTGTTATTTACAACAAGAATGTGACGTAACTATTTATGTTCTCTCGATTGTCATCGTCGCCGACTAATCACGGGAGATTCGATTAAATTACAATTCCAACATATTTTTAGTTTTTTTAGATTATTAAAAGTTTATAAGCTTGAATTTTGTAACAGTTATTTATGCACCTCGGCACTAAAGACTCTTTTTTTTTCATTACTAATGTGTGTTTAGTAGCCGAGACAAATAAAACACATAATACAGCGTGCGCCAGTACTCGCGCCTCAGAGAAAAATGACATATAAGGTAAGATACGGCAGGAACATGGAAAAAATGTTAAAAAAAATTATCTATAAAAATTTCGAAGTTATGAGGGTTTAAAGTTTGCACATTGACTCTATTTATTTCTGTTGGAAAAATAATTTTCCAAGTTTTTTTGCTATAGACTTTTATAAGAGGAAACAAGGAAGCTGTATCCTAAATTGTAACTTTGTTCAATGTTATTTGTGGCTTTTTTGTCAAAATTTTTGTCCCTTTACTCAATAATTGTAAAAAAACATAGAAGATCATTAGTATCATTAAATAGATATAAAAAAATGTAAAAAATATATGTCAAAATTTTTTGACATATAGAATTTTTTAAACATTTTTTTCATGTTCCTGGTATCTTACCTTACTTGAAAATTTTCTCTGGGGCGCGAGTTCTGGCGCATCCTGTATGTCTTCAAGGCTCACATTAAATATTTATTTTTGTTTTCCCATTTACAATGACCGAAACCAATAAAGGCTGATTTGAAATGAAACTGAAAGTCATCTAAAAGTTGTCGAGCTTTTAAAAGCTTATTTCTTCTATCCTTTTGTTTGTTTGAACTGAATATAGAGAGCAATCCATAAATTTCAAGTTTTATGTTACATAAAGGAAGCATTAGTTAAGGTGTTGTCTAGGTAATTGTGTTTTATTAGTATTCAATAAACGGCAAAATGTTTCAAATATCTTCTAGCAAAACTAGTTTAAAAAAATGTCTGGTCAATACAGTCCTAAAAAATTTATAAACATAATATAGATTTAAAGGGTTTTAGTCGCCGATAATTTAAAATTGGCGTCCCTAAGGTTTGCTCTTCAAAATGTATTCATTGTTGAAAAAAAAACAAAAATTAACAAAAACAGAAAAAAACACATAAAAAAAAAATAATAGAGGCAAAAATTAAATTAAAAGTTAAAACGTTAAATATCACCAACTGCTATTAGCAACATAAATTTCAGAATAAATTACTGAAACGGCGCAAACTTATTCGTTTATAGTGCATTTTTTGATGAATTTTCCGAGGCTAAAAGTCGAGGTTGCACCATCTATATCTCAGAACCTATAAACATTCGAATAAGGCAAGTTGAGTTATTATCTCCTTTTAAAAGTTCTATACAAGTATTAAAGTCATCCTATAGATTGTTATACAGTGTGAATACATTATTGTGGTGTATGTATTTCTGAAATTTTCTTAGATGCAACCAAAAATACAAATTTTAACTTTTACTAGATTTGTAGTTTTTTAAAAATTAATCCATTATGGCATTGTTCTAAAACCTCAGTTTTGCTGAAATTTCATTTTGAAGGATGTTTACAAAAAAGGAATGGCTTTTGTACAATTTTTACGTTATTATGTTCGTTATTTTGTTGATTAAATTAATTAAAAAAGCAATTATAGTTCAATTTATTATTTAATTATTATAATTTCAGAAGTCCACCACAAATGACTCACTCACTCACTCGCTCAGATTGTGCGGAAAACAGGTTAAAACATTTCGAGAAGTGATTCCTTAGGTCTGTATAAGGAAAAAAAATTCTATGGATTCGAGTTATGGCTCTAATTCCCATAAAAAGCATTTCTGGACATTGGTCCATAAGAACTTTTTTCCTATATTATTCACCCAAAGAATCACCCCGGAATTAAATTTCATTTCATTTTCATAATGTAAACTCTAAAACAACCTTTACATTAATAACCTCATTTTTTACTCTTGTCATGTTTATGTCATTTTGATTTACCAATTTACTTTCAAAAATAGCGTCACCGACAGAAAAGTCAGTAAAAGGTAGTTTATACTGAACTTTTTCAAGTGACAGAAAAATATTGCCCGAAATTTTAATTCCGTAACTGTACCTAATTAAATGGTAAATCATTAAAAGTTATTAAAGAAACTGGCTAAGACATTGATTGCGTGTTAAGTTTTAGTTTGTTTTAGAAGAAAGTGCTTTTAATTCAAGTCAAGTTCAGAAATGCTGTTTGCGGTTTTGATGACATTAATACTTCGTTGCTGTGTACGAAAAAATATCCATGTTTTATGCATATTATCGATTATTGTATTAGAATGTTTTGACTGAAATAAAGTTCACTTTTTTGAACTTGCAATTACAGTTTATTCTCTTGTTGAAATACATTATACATTATATCGTCAAAAATAGTATATGCTTTTATTTTTTGTTGCAAGACAAATTAGATTTTAATATATTTTCCCAGAAAACATGTTGTTATACCTATATTGGTATTTTAATGATCAAACTAGACACTTACCTCTGTTTGCTTTTTTGAAGTTTTTAAAAAAGAACACAAAAATAAAATTTCATAATAAATTATATTTTCCATAAATAACAAAGTTTCCAAAGTTGTTCATATTTATTTACATAATATATTAACTATATGAAAATTTTGAGTTATTTGATCATTAAAACTGATCCCAAAGAGAGTATCAAAAATAGAGGACCCATTAAACTTTATCTGCGGACTGAGGTGAAACATCATCTAGAAAAATACTTTCCCTTTTATTTCCATCATCAGATTCACTGAATAAAAATTTGTAGAGAGCACATCCAATTACAGCAGCTACATTTGGACCAACCCAAAATATCTACAACCGAAATCATAAGAAAATCATCAGAATTAATCAGTAGAAAATTACCCATTGATCGGCCCAACTTCCCCCAAACACTAGAGGAGCAAAAGACCTTGCTGTATTCATACTAGCCCCAGTCAAAGGACCCTGAAATGAAACACATTTCTATGAAATTTATGTTTGAATTGTCATGAAAAACATTACAAAACAAGTAAAACAAATATAGATATTACACAGGGCGACAAAAAAAGTCATGTCGTGACAACTTGACAAATTATATATCATTTTGTTCGTCTCAGTGGGACAAATCAAATGCACTAAAAAAATTAAAAAGTCCACACACTTTGAACTAAATAATTTTTTTTTTCTAATTTAAATGAATTTAAAATACTTTAACTTTAAAAAATCATTACTCAATATCTATTAAGCCGATTTCCTTCAAATAAAGAGCATTCTAAAGGGATGGCCTTGCCCTTTAGAATGATATAAAATTTGAAATTGAATATTGGCAAACTTCGAACAGTGTTCAAAGAAGTTCGAAGTAAATCGAAATAATCTAAGAAAAACCCTATGAGTATTTTTTTTTTTCATTATTAGCATCGGGTAGAGCATCTCTTTATTAGTAGTAATTCAAATTTTCAAAAAAATATACCGAGTAGTTTTCAACACTTTTATAAAAATGCAATTTTAAGTAAGATTAACATGCATTTCTCCTATATGGCGCAATACCTGAACAGCAAACCTTAATTTCAAAAAATCATATCTTAAAAACTACACGGTATATTATTTTAAAAATTTGGATTCTTAATAATAAAAAGATGCTCTACACGATGGTGATAAAGAGAAAAAAATTACTCGTAGGGTTTTACTTAGTTTACTTCGATTTACTTGGAACACTGTTCGAAGAAAAGTTTGACAATATTCAATTTCAAATTGCATATCATTCTAAAGGGCAAGGCCATCCCTTTAGACTGGTCTTTATTTGAAGGAAATCGGCCTAATAGTTATTGAGTAATGATTTTTAAAATTAAAGAAAAAAATTATTTAGTTCAAAGTGTGGGGACTTTTTGAAATTTTTTTAGTGCATTTGATTTGTCTCGCTGAGACAAACAAAATGATATAAAATTTGTCAAGTTGTCACGACATGGCTTTTCTTGTCGCCCTATGTTATCATATGATTAATAATAAATATTTCATAATTACATAATTGCGTGCTAGTATGAATCGAGTTAAGTGCGTCAAATAAACAAGACCCCGATAAACTTTTAGGGTTCGATTAATTTAAATAATTAAAATAATTAAAAAATTAAAATAATTTAAATAATAAAGGAACATGGAATAAATGTTAAAAAAATTCTATCTATAAAAATTTTGAAGTTATGAGAGTTTAAATTTTGCACTTTGACTCTATTTATTTCTGTTGTAAAAATAATTTTCCAAGTTTTTTTGCTACAGGCTATTAGAAGAGGAAACAAGGAAGCTGTATCTTAAATTGTAGCTCTGTTTAATGTTATTTGTGACTTTTATTGGCAAAAGTTTTGTACCTTTACTAAATAATTATTAAAAATCAAATACAAGAACATCAGTATCAATAGACATTAAAAAAATGTCAAATGTCAAAAAATAAATGTCAAACATTTTTTCCATGTTCCTGGTATCTTATCTTACTTGAAATTTTTCTCTGGGGTTCTGACATACTCTGTATAATTAATAATAAATATTTCATACTCATAATTACATAATTGCCTGCTAGTATGAATCGAGTTAAGTGCGTCAAATAAACAAGACCCTGATAACCTTTTAGGGTCAGATTAAATTAAATAATTATGCTATTAGGATTTTTAATTATACTTACAGCTGCCATAGAAATCGCTGCGATGGCAAAACCAAACCTTAAAGGCACCGAATCGGTTTTTGTCTCATTTCGTTTGTCCCAAACGCCACAACAAATTAAAATTAAGACTGTAGTTATCACAATTTCGATCCCTAGACCCTAAAAATTCTCAAAAATTAAATCAATCATCAGAAATTAATACAACTCTTTGCACCTGTAGTACTGATATATGAGGGTCTAGTGTAGTCATACAAAATCCCTCATTGGCATATTTATCTGATACTAGAACTTTAAGTAAACCATAGCCTAGAGTGGCTCCCACAAATTGCGCAATTACATAAACCACAGCCATTAGAGGTTTGACCATTCCGAAAAAAACGGTCGCTAGAGTCACTGCTGGGTTCAAGTGAGCCCCAGAAATGTGACCCAAACTCTAGAAAAAAATCTTGTATTTTTTATTTCTAAAATTAATTACGTACCTGGATAATAAGCATGACAGTGAGACCGAAAGTGAGTCCACCATAATGATGTGTTGGTGTTGGTTCATCGAAGTTTTTGATACACCCCATGCACCCCAGAAACATAAGAAGGGCAGTGCCTAAGAGTTCCGATGCGAACATCGTCAAGTAGGGTTGTGGAATGGCCCCTAAAAATTCCTAATTTTTAATTGCTAGAATTATAATTATTATGTAAGTAAAATGTAAGGAATAGTAATTATTCAGTATTACATAAGTGTTGATAAAAAACTAATCAATAAAATCTCAGCATTGATCGCACTTTTTGGACGCATGATTGTAAGGAACAACAAAACAAATCAAAGTATTTAATTCAAAACAAAACAAATGTTTATGTGTAAAACCAACCTCTGCCTTTTGCCATTGTTCATTCACAAGATTTTTTTCTTGATTAAAAGGACACTTTGCCAAATTTTTAGATGTGTTTAACTTTGCGGCAACAGAACAGTTACTGTTTTTTTGATAATTCACGGACCCATTTTTAGATTTTAGATATCTGTGCTTTCCACTGAACACTCCACTGATAACAATAATTCAATAGTGTGATTTTAAACATAAAACAGTGATCACAACAAATCGCACACTCATCGAACGCATCAATCGGGTGATACTTGACTGATGTTGTTTGACTTGTTTATGTTTATTTATTTAACAAGGATTCGTTAATAATGATTTAAGAGATCAGGTAATAATCAGAAAGGTCAACACTGAGTTAAATTGCACTTTACTTTAGAAGATAAAATTGGGCACAGGTTGTTGATTGTAAAATTACTCGTAAAATTATTAAAATACACTTATTTTGCTTAAAAAATGAAACAATTTAATGTTTTACAATGAGTCACAAGAACTAGCACGTACCGGTACTCTTGTCGAAGTAAATATTTAAACGCAAAATAAAAATATTTTGTTATTAAATTTAAACGCGCTCTTGTCACTTTTAGGATTTTACGCAATAATTTTAAAATTCCACAACATTAAAATACGGGGTGTTCCGTCTTTATTGTTCCAAACTTAAACAGGTGATAGAATATTCAATTTTAAGACAAAAGATTCCTATAAACATGTATCAAAAAATGTTACGTAAGCGAGCTACACCCCCTGAAAGAGATGCGTTTTTAATAGGGTTTTCCCACTATTGCAGAACGGTGAAACAAATTTAATTTTTAATTTTTATCCTCTTTATGGTCTGTAAGACAAATTGTAAACTGATTTTACTCAAAAACGGTAAGTTTTATCGAAAAAACGCAAGAGAGCTCTTTTTTGTGAAAAACTATGAAATTTAGAATTTTGTGGCTGAAAGTGGCAAAAACCAACGCCAAAATAGTTAGGGTACTTTTTACCCTAAACCTCCCAATTTAGGACGCCCCTGAGTAAATATTTCGACATTTTATCTTTGAATTCATTTGGGTGTATAAAGGTTATTACTTGTACCAAATTTTGTAATTGTATCTACAATGGTTTCTGAATATTGGAAAAAATCCATTAAAAGATGCACCCCTTTCAGGGGATGTGGCTCCCTTATATACAATTTTTCGATATATGTTTATAGGAAACTTTTATCTTAAAATTGAATATTCTATCACCTGGTTAAATTTTTAACAATAAAAATGGAACACCCTGTATATGATTTTGGTTTCACAGAAGTGTTGTAGTTTTTGTACAGAGTGAATCAAAAATGTCGGACCAACTCTTGAATGGTGATAGAAGATTTTCAGCTAAGCATAAAAATAAATGCAGATTTTTTTTGAGTTTTTTTTTCCGAGACAAAAATAGAACTGACAATGTCCATATTATCAAGTTGGCACCTTAGCTCTTTTGTTTTCTGTGTTGTCGGATTTAATTTATTGTTGAATTTGCTATTACCTCTGCCATAGCCATCGCCACCCTGGCAACATCGCAATAACTACATTTTTTTAGGTAAAATAGGTCAGAAACATCTGATTTCTGTGTAAAAAAAAGAAAGAATCTGTGTTATTTTCCTATAAACATTATAAATTTTAGCATTTGATTTTTGAATTCGTTTAGGTAAATAAAGATTATCAGTTGTACCAATTTTTTTATTTTTATGTACAATGGTTTCTGAAATATTGAAAAAATCCACCCCTTCCAGAGGTTGTAGCTCTCTTACATAGAATTTTTCGATACACGTTCATAGGAAACTTATCTTGAAATTGACTAATCTATCACCTGTTTAAATTTGTAACAATAAAGGCGAAAACACCCTGTACACTAAAAAATATTTTTGCTTTTCATTATGTAATGGTAACCAATTTTTAAGCAAAAATTCATCAAAATATAGCAAGACAAAAAACAATATTTTTAGATTCCCTGTGTAAAGTTGGTTACCTACCTTGCATTATCTTATGAACTAATTAGCCTGATTTCGTGGAAGATGGTATACAGGACAAAGGAAATAAAACCATTAAATTCGGAAGAACTGTTCTTCCTTGACTGTGCCATGCCTCCCATGTTCAGCCAACGAAAAATTCTTTGCCTGAAGAAGATACAATAAAGGTATCGAAACGTCGCGACGAATTTAATGGTTTTATTTCCTTTGTCCTGTATACCATTTTCCACGAAATCCGGCTAGCATCACAAAATGGAGAATTATAACTATTTTTTAGAAATTCTACTTTATACATGATGATTCTTGTAAAGCCTACATTAGACTTTTCACCATCTAGTGTAGCTTACCCTTTGAAATACACGACCAAACCGGCCATTCTTGATTCAACTAAATTATTTGACTGAACTTCCAAAACTACGAGAAATATGCCAACTTTGAAATTCTTAATAGTAACCATTCATTTTTATTGGACTTTTGAATTTATCTTCTCAAACTGATTAAAACGTACTTAAGTTAAGTTGTTGGAATTTACCTGTCATAGTTTTTGACATATGTCAATTTTTTTGTTTACAAGGGTCCATTCAAAAAATCACAGCCCTTGAACCCTTTGCGATAATAACTAAATAATTTTTTGCATTTGATAATCGAAAGTTCGAAGAATCCTCTAATAGTTCAAAGTAACAGTCAAATTTCAAGGCTAGTATGATTTAAAAAAAGTTATGAGCCAAAAACTGCTATTACTCAGTTTTTTTTTAATGAAATGATTATTTGCTCAATGGTAATTGTATCACAAAAATTATGAGTAAAAGTACCAACAACTTAAATCATTTTCAGTGAGTTTGAGAAGACGATTTCAATCAAAAGTGTAATCAAAATGGGTGGTTACCATTTAAAATTTCAAAATTGACGCCAATTTCGCGTAGTTCCGAAAGTTTAACCATTTTGAAAATTATTTCGTCGTTACTACGTAACACCGTAGTTGCATTAGAAGTTTAAAAGTTTCTAATGTAGATACTTCAAGAATCAGAATATAGGTAAATTTAATTCATTTAAAAATCAATGATAATTAGATATATTAATGTAATTAAAAACTTATTAGTTATAAAACGTAGGATTAGTTTTTTCTCGAGTACCTTAATAATGTGATTAGTTATTTACACTTTGATAAACTTAAATAATTTTTTGTAATTTGCCTCCATTTTGATACTTTAATAGACACGTTAAAGAACGCGACTTTAAAATGCGACTAAATCAAATTAGACTTTTAAAATTAGAGAGCAAATTAAAAACTCGTTTCATAAGACCTTGAAGCACTCATTCTTTAAAATAGCTCATGGTTGCGCCACTCGTTTTTAAACTTGGATTCGTGCCTTATGAAACTGACTGGTCTTATGAACCTTGATTCTTAATATACTATTAATTAAACAATGTCTAAAAAGCCGTCATATTTTCAGTACCTATTTTAAAACTTGACAACTTGACGCGTGATGCGCATTTTTGAAAATCACGTAGGTATCACGTACGTCGGAAAATATTTCCATCAAAGAAACAAAAAGATACTTCAAAACATCCTTACAATGATAAAACCTTGATGATTTGTTACGATTACTATTTTCATGACTTCCCAATTTTCAGTTACTAATCAAATTAGTATTAAGTTTAAAGTATTTGGCTTTCTTATTGACTTGCTAAGAGCATGTAATTAATAGTAACAATAATAATTTCAGCTGACATCTTATTTTGTGTTGATTTGGTACTCTACATTAATTTCGTAAACACAAATGCATGATTAAAAACCAAACAAAACTTTAAAAAATTCCGTTTAATAAAAAAATTCCTTAATATCCTGGTACATGTACAACTAAATTAAGTCATTTATTAGTAAATCATGAATTGCACGGCGTATAATGTGACAAATTTTTTCAACAAATATACACATATTTGCCTCATTGACATTTTCTATTATTACCAAACCGTTATTAAAAATACGTAGTAAAATTTACTGGTACATGTACTGGTATATAAACATCACGTAATCCGAGCAAACTTACCTTTATCTTTTTTGGGATAATTCATCTGGTACTTTTTCGGAGGCCCATCTGGGACCGTTTTAGCTATATCCACCACTGATATCTTGACACCATTTGAAATAGTGTTTTTCTTCACATTATTTTCTTCGCCCATCTTGATTCATTAGCCTTTAAAAATGAATAACCACTTTTAAACAAGTTTAATCTCTATTGTATACAAATTTATAGTCTTGTTGTCGTTACGGGCAATAAGTTATTGACTCGTATTTTATCTAATCGCTTTTTTGGTACCCAATACCTATTAATCACTTTTATTACCTTTGCTTCTGTTATGAATGCCTGAATGAAGAAATTAAAAAAATGGATAGTTAGTTTACAGGACTAATTTTTTAAATTGATTTTTCCTTATGAGATAAAATATCAGGTGTCAGAACTCGCGCCCCAGAGAAAAATTTTAAGTAAGATAAGATATGGAAAGATAAGTATGGAAAAAATGTCCCCCAGAGTACTGAAAAAATGTTTAATAAATTAATTTAAAAAAATTTTGACATTTACTTTTAGACATTTGACATTTTTTTATGTCTATTTAATGATACGGATAGTCTTGTATATGTTTTTTTTATAATTATTTAGTAAAGGTACAAAAATTTTGCCAATAAAAACACAAATAACATTGAAAAAAGTTACAATTTAGGATACAGCTTTCTTGTTTCCTCTTCTAATAGCCTATAGCAAAAAAAATTGGAAAATTAGAGTGCAAAATTTAAACTCTCATAACTTCGACATTTTTATACATAGAATTTTTTTAACATCTCTTCCATGTTCCTGGTATCTTACCTTACATGGATTTTTCTCTTGGGCGAGAGTTCTGACGCACCCTGTATATGAATCTGATTTCTATTGGTTGCATGAAATTTTGCAAATCACGCAATTTGCATTAAAAAATAAGTGATCACTGATATGTGTGTGTGGGTAGATACTTCAGAAAGGTTAAGTGTGTGATACAAGTAGGCTTTTGTGATTTTCCTTTTATCATATGATTACAAATAAGAAAAAAATCTTGACATGATTTTATACTCTGTTTAGTTAGCAACAAAATTTGTCGAAAATAAGAAAACGCTCAAATATTACCACTTGTTGGCCAAACACTAAAACTAATTTAACTGCCTCTGTTTTTTATTTTATATAAAGTTACGAGATGGGAATAATTAATTAAAATGTCAAATAATTCTAAAGATTAAAACGATTTGAGACGTCCTTTTTGGAAGTTGGCCATCAATGAATCCTTGTCAAAGTTGCGTGTTTGTGAAACTAATTTTTTACATTGACAGTCGAATTTTTCATCATCAATATGGCAGAGCATATCAAAGGTTGAATCTGCATTGTTTCCGTAATAAGGCTAACATTGAAAATATCACAAAAATCTTTGCATTACACTTCCTCCGGTATTTAAATGATTTAATAGGTGTTGTTATTAAAAAAGGAAATTGTTGAAATGTAAGGTCAGATGGCGTGGGAAGAGAAGAGAGACCTATCCTATAAAAATTTATTCGATTGTTCATAATTGATAGAACAACAATAATGTTTAAGATGGCACGATTAATTCCACTATTAAATGTCAATAACTTAGCAAATAAATGGCTTTGGATTTCTATTGCTAAAGAACAATTCGTGACATTGTGAAAAATTATAGAGTTTAAATACACATTTCAACATTTCAAATATTTGGTAAACATAGCGTGTAATCGATTGAATTTTTTGGATACAACACGTTACGAACCATCGTAAAAATGCACATAAAAAAGTCAAGAATAAAATAAAGAAATGGAAAAAGCAATGAATTTTTACTCAATTTTATTTTTTCAAGTGTGTATTACGTCATATTTTAATAATAAATAAGATTTTAATTTTTTAAATCTAAAACTCACATTCATATTTTTATCGCTCTTTAGG